TTTAAAACCAAAATCAAACTGATTTCAAAAGCAAAAATGCAGCATATCAATTGTTATAAATCTAAAACAGCAAAACCAAGAAAAATTTCACAGCAAGACCCTCAGAAACTCAGACTCAGTCTGTTCCAACGCTCCTCCCATACCCCCCTTCCCCATCTGCCTCTCCCTCTCTCTTCTTCCACCTATCTCTGCCCTGTTTGATCATCACGCACCCGTTCACTTCCTTCCTTCCTTCCACCCCACCCCATCCGTAACTTTCCACCCAGTTTCCTCCAGTAACCATGTTCACCTCCACCAGTGCCTCACAGTGACCACATGCTTTTCTCCTGCTCTGCCTCTCCATCACACCCACACACACACACCCACACACACTTCACTGTGGCCCTCTCTGTTAGCTCCACTCCTTCCCGTCCCATAATGCCCAGTTACCTTATCAATAGTGATCGATCCAGCCACAGAACCGAAGGTCCTGCTTTCTGTCCCTGTGCAGCGAGCACTCGGTTCTCTCCATCCACCCTTCCTCTGTCAATCTGGCCACAAACCCCTCTTTCCTCCCTTTATCCCGAGGTAAGATACTTACTTTTCAGATAAAGCATATTATGATAAATCGGCTGAACTCTGTGCGTGTGTGTGTGTGTGTGTGTGTGTGTGAGAGAGTGTGTAACTGTCACACACACACACACACACACACACACACACACACACCATAAGCACACAGTGTGCACACACGTACAAAAATACAGTGTGTGTATCGAACAACATGATGTCAGAGGTACTTAACAGCTGGAAAAGTGTTAGTGTGTTTATATAATGCATGTGTGCGTGTGTGATTTTGGGTCTTTTGGGACGTGTTCTGTGGTTTATGTTGTTAATCATTCAATAATGGAGACACAAATATGATTAGGAGCCTTTCCTCTTCTCGTGTTTTCACATTGGAGCAAAAAATGCATACACAACAAAGTCTGCTTTGTCAGGGAGGATTCTGGGAAAATTTGGTTTCATTACTCTCAGTTTTCTCAGGGAAAAAAACGTGGCCTGTACAGTAGTTTTTGTTCATAAAAAGGGTCCAGAAAGCTTCATCAGAATAATGACTGTAGTGAAGTCTGAGTCAAACTTCATTTAATTTGAAATCCTTTTTCATTTTGATCCATCTGAGTGTTTCTACAATAGATTCAATAGTAAAACAGGCTGCTGAAACATTCAGTATATACGCAGATAGCTATGCATATGCCCTGACCACACGGACGAGGAAGACTGTATGTTCCCTCTTATACTATAGTTGTCTAGAACGACTGCTCTCTGCCTCATAGCCATCAAAGGATGCGTCATACACGTCTGCTAATGAAATGGGCCGAGGGAAATAGTGGAGCATATGGGCAAATGTTCTTCAACCAAGTGGGATGGAAGTTCAGGTCAACAAGGGGAATAAAAGAGTTTGGAGAAAATGAAAACTAAATGAAAATACAATGGCTGTGTTTGCCTCTGGGACGTGTATGCGTGCTTGTTTCAAAATGGGATGTTTATGAAATGCCTGCCCTGTGTGTGTGTGTGTGTGTGTGTGTGTGTAGGAGTATAGATTAGATGCACTAAGCCTCTTATGTGCTGGTTGTCCTTAATTTGTGTCTGCTCTGGGTCCTAGTGCGTCCAGACTACCAGCAGTCCTTCAGCACGGAGCCATTTCCACACAAACAACCACAAAACATCACATGTCGTGCAACAATAAAACATATAATCTTAATCTTAAAGTGCATTAATATATAGTACTTATCTTTGGCAATGTATAATTATGTAAATATAACCATAAAACAACCCCCACAAGATTAAACTTTTCTTACTCTTTAACTTGTTGAGGGAAAAGAATGTCAAATGATAACACCGAATAAATCACAACCAATGCTCATAATGCTCTGATGAAGGTCTAATAGATGGAAAACTCAACAATCAAGTGAAACACTGCACATCTTTTCTATACCAGTTTGGACTTATTGATGTTCCCAGCACCTTGCCAAGACCAAGCTGGGTGGAGCAGTTGTTGTTCTGCATCATTAACCCACAATACAAAATTCTGTCTTATAAAAAAACATGAACCATCTTTTTATCATGCATATGCTGTGTAAACCAGAGATTATGTCATCTCTATATTTACAATGTGTGACTGTCCAGTGCTTTTTCCACTTTTAAATTTAGGGTGTAATTTAATGTAATGTCTGCACAGTGTTCCTATCCCAAAATCTTTTATTAATCACTTTCATTGTAAAGAAATGTTGCAGTTACTCAAAAGTAATATTCATATCTTTAGTGGTGGGAAGTAACCAGAAAGTATGTAATTAGATTACAGTTACTGATCAAAATGTTGGTGATTACAAAGGAGTTACATCCAGATACATTCTTTATGTGTAGAATTTAACATTTTATCTGTTGCTTTACATCGTTTTACTGTACAGGAATGCCTTCTTTTGCTATATATTTTTCAGACATTTTTCAGTTTTGTTGCCCATTTTAAAACATTTGGTAGAAAAGTAATCACATGTAATATATTACATTACTTTAATAATTAGTAATTAAAATAGTTACATTACTTATTACTACTACTTAGATAGTAACTAGTAATCTGTAAGCCAAAAATTTAAAAATAACCCTCCCAACATGCATATTCTATTATTTTCAATATTTTACAATGTCACAATATTTTAGAGACATATAGAGCTAGAAATTAATGTATTTTTATTTAATTTTTAATTATTTTTTTACCATTTTATGTTATTTTCGAAATTATTTGTATTTATTTATTTATTTATTTTTGGCGCGCACAAACGCCACAGTTAAAGGCCTGTTGTTGGCCTATTTGTCCAAACTTTATGTAGTGACTTTCTTTACTATTTTACTCGATGGATTAAGCTAATTACTTGATTAACTGCAACTTTTTCGGCCTGCTATTATCTTAAGGTATCGTGTATTGTTTTTATATTGATAAATAAAGCATGAAGAGGCTGCTGCTGAAAAAAATAGCCATTTTTAGTTTGAGTTAAGACATAAAATAGGTCATGGTAAGTAAATTTGTTTATTGTTTAAAGCTCCACAGTCTGCAGCCTTTAAATCAAAATATCACTTTTAAAGTAAAGTAAAATACATGAAAATGTTTGCTTTAAATATGATAAATAGCCTACATTGCTATATAATGCAACCGAGGAGTCTGGTGGCTGCAGGTGTGTGAAGTGTGCGCGCGCACAGAAATGCTGCGCGCAGTGTCGCGCGCTCTGAGGTCTCTCGCTATTCCCGCCGGGGTTTTTTTTCAGTCGGAGGTCTCGAGACATTCTTGTCCTCGGACTCCCCACAGTTCCTCCAATATCTGTCTTGCTGGCTGTGAGCTCACCTCAAGATGCTCGAGCTACAGCAACCAAACAGCACGAGATAAACAAACAAACAAACAAACAAAACGTACCTGGAGGTGAAGCGTCCACCGGAGACGGCAGGTATCCAAACGTCATCACCACACACACACACTCAAACACGGCCCTCCTGCACTCAAACAGCCACACACACTCTCCTCAGCAGGTGAAGACATTTTATTGAGAAACGTTCAAACACGCCGGTAAAGTCTCTCTGTCGCTCTGTGTGTGTCTTTATATCTCCGCTTTGGCTTTACACAGCTAGATAAACCCCTTATACAGTTTGGGCTGTAGCTACATGGGTCTGTGTGTGTGCGTGCGTGTGTGAGTGTGTGTGTGTGTGTGTGTGGATTTTAAACTATAAGAAATCCGATTCAATTAACAAGCGCAGAGAATCGGCTTTGGACACTGTGAAATTGTCCCGTAGAGGAGGATGGCACAGGACTAACTAGCACACAGAGAGGAGACACAGAATACACACGGAGTCGGAGCAAACAAAACCCTGGAGGCCTCTGCTGGAATATTATGAAGAAATGAATAAAACAATAAAACAAAATATACTTTTTATTACAACTATCTGACGCTTGGACCAGGATTTAACAATGGAAATATGTGTCACTGTGGAGTCTTTAAACAAATTAAACATGTCCTCTCTTGCCTTAAATTAACTCAGCAGCTACTTATACTTAAACTTATATTTAACATTTTATTTTAGTAGACCATTGGCCTACCTGTTACCCGCTTCGTTTTCATTTATAAACATTATTATATGTAGCGTATATTTTCCTGTATAATACATGATCCTCCTCTGTAGCTTGGTGCGTAAATTTGACACCAAATATCTATTATGTAAATATCCTATATTTACATCAAGAATAATTATGTGGGTCCACCAATAAAGTGTTACACATGATACAAGGCAAAACATTATGATTATTATTATCATTATTTATTATTATTGTTATTGACTGTAAAGAATGAATGGATGAATGGGCCGGAGGGAGCATGTTGGGGATCAGAAGGGGATTTAATAGCAGAACAACGCGCTCTTTGTGTTGCTTCTAATCCGGCCTGTACCCCCTTCTCCGCCTCTAAGTTGCTCTGTCTCTGCCACCACACTCAGGCAGGGTCGCCCAATTATTTTAGGAGGCCAATTTTGAAAAGAGGTCGTAACAATAAAACCTGGAAAAAGGGAAGAAGAAGAAAAGGTTGAGATGGGAACTTAACATTCACTATAATTGTTTTAAAGTCAATTTGCCAAGTGCCAAACTAACTCTAGGCGAATTTTGTCTACATTTCTTTCTCATTTTAATCATTTAAATCACTCGTGACCATGCAGGCTATAAATCAGCAGGTGTCAGTGACAGAGCTGCTGTGACGACAAAAAGTGGCCTGGACGTTTTAACAAATATGAGACATATAAAATAAACCGGGACACTTCATATATAGCACTACAGACCCAACATAAATACATGATGACCGTTTACGTGTGCGCGCGTGCGTCTGCGTGAGCGCGCCCGAGAGAGGGAGGGAGGGAAAGAGGGAGGGCTCTGGGTGTCTACTTGGGTAAGAAGTTACTTCTAATTAGCCAGCCTCTTCTTGCTCGCCTCACTTGTCCACTGTGCAGATCCAGATCCTCTCCTCACGGACCAGGTACCGACAAGGGCCCCGGCACTTTTCAGCACCCATCACACCGCAGCCGGCTAAACTGCTGTGGAACTGCTGCGTTTGGTACCTTTCATCACCTGGCGACGCCGGTGCGCAATTACGCACGACTTGGATGGAGAAACTGCGCTTTGGCACGGGTCTTCTTTAGTTAACCTTTATTTATTTTTAATGTGGTGTCTTTATTTATAGTCTTGGGTTGATTTCAGTTGTTGTTGTCCTTTTTCTTTTGGTAGAAGAAGCTAAAATACCCGGTCTTTAAATCAGCGGTGTTTTACGCATCAGGTTAAAACAGGTGTAAAGGCGCACTGCTGTTAGACTCACAGTTACAGGTGCCTGGTTTGGATGCACTGAGTCAGAATATCCTACAAAGGCAGTAAAGGACAACCAGCTAGGAAAAATAAAAAACAACAACCAAGTGACAAACAACCCAGGGTGAAAGAAAAACAGAGAGGGAGGGGTGACAGAAAAAAAAAAACGAGAGAGAGGGAGGGAGAAACAGAGAGAGAGACACCCCCTGGAGACTATAGGAGACCCGGCCCCCGGTCTGAGAGAAGGAGAGAGAGAGTGAGATAGTGAGGGAGTGTTTTAAAGCCAGCAGGAGGCATGATGTCCTACATTAAGCAACCCCATTACGCCGTGAACGGGTTAACGCTGTCCGGCCCGGGCATGGATCTGCTCCACTCCGCCGCCGTTGGATACCCCAGTAAGTAATGACTGATTACTTCTGACTGTATTTTTTGTTCCAGTAATTTTTAACCTGTCGTTTCGTTGTTGTTTCAAGTGAAAACTGTTTAATTTGAAACACAGACACTGAAAGAATTCACATAAAGTGTCGTTTGAAGTTCGCGTAAAATGCTCTTTAAAAAAAGCACCAATTCACTTGTATATATATATATTTTAATTTAGCTGAGAGGTTATGCTTTATGACTATGAATAGATGTCTGATTCTTCATCCACCAGAACATGTGTTCACTTGACCTATAAGTTCAGCGGATTACAGAGTCAAAAAACAATAAAAAAAACCGTGTGTGAATGGAAACGCAGGCTGTTCTCACACCGACTTAACATCAGCACAGACTCCAATCTGTTGCTCTTATCATGTAACCTATTTACAAAACGACTCTCATTGTATTTTATCTTCTGGCATTATGTTTTTTTTTCTTTTCATGAATGAACACTTCTTATATTGTTTGGCCTGATCAGCATCTGCCATCCTTGAGAGGAGAGTTTGAATGAAATTATGCCGAGGTTTGGCACCGATGACAGAAGGCGTGGTGGGCCTTCTTGACGCAGATTAGAGTTTGAATCAGCGAGGAGTTGAGATCATTTTTAAAATTCTGAAACTAAGCTTTGGAGTAATTTTCGTTTCTTCACTTTGTATATTTCGATTTAAACCATCTTAGCTGTGAGAAATAAAACCATAAGACATTTTTATTTGATTCTATCCAATAAAAACATCAGTCATGAAGTAATTATTTGACTCAAGCCTACATTTCTTAGAGAGGCCAAAAGGGTGCGATGAAAATGATGATGGAAACGAAAATGCATTCAACTTTAGTGGGTATTATTTTGTGAGACATATTCTGTAAAAAAAAAAAAAAAAAAAAAAAAAAAAAAAATCGATATTCTCGGGGTGACGTTAAGTTTTATTATTTTAGTATTTAAGAGAAAGAAGTCATTCAGGTTCGCTGATTCATTAGCAGTCCTTGAAACTTTATTTTGTGGAGTTGTTTATTGAAATAGCTTTCTTTAATTATAACTTTAAGGGATTTTAAAACCCTAAAATAAACTAGAACTTGTGATAGACATTCTCGAGGTTTATTTATTTATTTATCTAATTTTTATTTGTGTTAAATGTTTGAACCAACACAGATTGTTACAGCTATAGTGCAGCAACAATCTTTTTTATGCCAACATAAAAGCAATGTAATAAAAGTAATAATAAAAGTAATATTTTTTTTTCTTTAACTTTTTATGTTTCATTGTAGGCACCCCGCGTAAACAGCGTCGGGAGCGTACCACCTTCACACGCGCACAGCTGGACATCCTCGAGGCTCTGTTTGCCAAAACCCGCTACCCAGACATTTTCATGAGGGAGGAGGTGGCCCTCAAGATCAACCTGCCAGAGTCCCGAGTGCAGGTAACACATTACAAACCAGTTTTACGACTGTTTTAGTATTTTATTATGCTTTGATCAATGTAATAATTATTTTTATGCCAAAATAATAATAATTATACATATGGCTCTTCAAAAAGAAAGAAATGTCTGTATGTGTGTGTGAGAGAGGGAAATATATCCCAACCAGGTACCCAGAGACCCAGGTGTCCCCACAATAGCACCTTCTATAGTTTAACTGTTTATCTGGATTTGTTTATTCAGCAGTGATTTTAAATTGACCCCAGCACCCCTGCCATCCTCCAGGTTTGGTTCAAGAACCGTCGTGCCAAGTGCCGCCAGCAGCAGCAGCAGAGCACAGGCCAGTCCAAACCACGGCCCCCTAAAAAGAAGGCATCCCCTGCTCGTGACGCCAACACTGAGGCCAGTGCCAACCCCACCAATGGACCCTACAGCCCTCCACCCCCTCCTCCAGGCACCGCCATCACCCCCAGCTCTGCTAGTGCCACAGTGTCCATCTGGAGCCCAGCCTCCATCTCCCCACTGCCAGACCCCCTGTCTGCCTCCACCACCCCCTGCATGCAGCGCACCACCACCTACCCCATGACCTACACTCAAGCCCCGGCCTACAGCCAGAGCTACGCAGGCTCCTCCTCCTACTTCACTGGCCTGGACTGTAGCTCCTACCTGTCCCCAATGCACCCGCAGCTGTCAGGCACTGGAGGTGCCCTGAGCCCCATCACAGCCTCCTCGATGGGTGGGCCCCTCAGCCAGTCCCCAGCTTCGCTCTCCTCCCAGGGCTACACAGCAGCCTCGCTGGGCTTCGGAGCTGTCGACTGTCTAGACTACAAGGACCAAGCTGCCTGGAAGCTCAATTTCAATGCCACTGACTGTCTGGACTACAAAGACCAGAACTCCTGGAAGTTCCAGGTCTTGTAAATAACAAGAAGTGGGAGGTGGGGAGGGAAGGGGTCAGGGGTCAGGGGTGAGAAATTGAACAAAATCAAAGTAGGGTGACAAACCCCAGATTAACTTTTGCTGTTTTTTAGAAGACGGAGGAGACCTTGGGGCACAGAAATCAAATAATCATATCAGTTGAAGAACTAATCAGCTGAATTAATGTCCTTGTTTTGCTGTTTTAGAAAAATGTGTGTGGAAGTAAACTGATCTGTTGATGCTTGGCTTGGTGATTGTTACAAAGAGATGACAGTAGTTTTCCTTAAGTTAAGCAAATCAGCCTGGAAATCAAGGAAAGGCTGCATTCAAGGAAAACAAGATATCTGTACAAGAAAATTTAATTAGTGAGAAAGAACAACAGCTTTAATTCTGCAGCTCAGAGGTGTTAGGGCTGAAATTGTTGTGATTTAAAGACAGTATAAAGATAGTACTGATGACAAGAGAATGCAACATTTTGATTGAAGACTCAGTAGTTTGTTTTTTTAGAGATCTTGTCCATCTGATTTGTTTGATAGAGCTGAATTCAGAAACTTCTCAACAGGCTTCGACTATGACCACATTTTAAGCAGAGCTTCCAGAGCACATCAGTTTCAGCAACCCACAAGTTTACTGCATAGAGAGCCTTGAAATCGACGTGTTAAAGCACAACAACTGACTCATGTTTATTTCTTCCTTCTAGACTTTGTCTTGTATTTTCTGTGATGTATTTTTTTTTTTAAAAAAAAGCTGCTTTTCATCAGCGAGCTGACTCAAAAAAGCTTCGAGCCAAACGACTCATCTAACCCAACCTGACACTTTCAGCAGGTGTCTTTACAGGGTGGCCACTAATTAAATACCACGTGAAAAATGTTTAGCAGACAGAAGCTGATGATTCCCAGTAGCCTTGTGTGATACTGATCCCCTGCAGCCTGTGTCTGACACAAGCCGAGGGGGTAGAGTTGGTCACTGGAGTGACTGCAGTACAAACCTGTTGCCTTTGAGCATGGTTGAAATCATTAGCAGAATGGCTTGTGCATTGTTAGTTTAATAGGATCACTTCCAGACAATTTGTGCAACAATGGTCGCTTTGTGGCCATTGGCAGCCGAGTACTCCCCCCCCCCACTCCATCTCACAGTGTTTGCATGAGGTTAGTTGATTGTTGAAGCAGTTCTTGAATCTACAAACGACTTTATTATGAACTGATTTGCTGATAAACTGCTCCAGTGAGGCGTTCAATGGGAGAGAAGACTGCACCAGAGAAAGGGAAGGGACTGGGCTGCCATGCAGCCCCCCCTTTGCACAGAGCGCTTGGTGCCTCTTTCAACTCCGACCTGTAAAGATGTGATGGGTACCACTTTATGTGTTTGATGTATCTGATTTTTTTTTTTTTTTTTTTTTGTATTAGACTTAAACAATATTGTTTCTTTTAAAATTTGTGAATTCGTTAAAGTAAAAATTGTGGTAATTTGTTTTGAAGTTGATATTATTATTATCAGTATTATTACTATTATCGTTAATATTATGTCTTCAGCTGACATGGACGTTGCTAATATACTTTTTTTGTTCTTTTGTAAATATTAAAACTTGAAAATGCAATCATGTCTGCTATCAGCAGCGAGTTGTTACGCAGGCGCACCACCCAACAGAATCTCTTTCTTTCTTAATTTCTATAAAACTGCCAACTTTTTATTTTTTTCTGTTTATATTTTTCTGGTTTCTGCTTCTTCTTCTTCTTCTTCTTCATCTTCTTCTTCTTTTTTTTCAAACTCAGGGGTTTATCCAATAAAAGTAGCAGTAATAGGATACAATGCTGTTCATGCTTCTTAATCATTTACTGTACTTTTATCTTTTTTGCATTACTATAATCTTCTCTGCTTATTTTTCTGACATGAATTATTTTGTATATTTCATTTGTCTCCTGTGTTCGACCAGTCTCACCACTACCATGCTAGATAGCTACGATGTTTCTGAGACATTAAACGACTTCATTAAAACTCTGGGGTCATTGTGTTCTGTCAATCGATGTTAGTGTTGAATCAAGGTAGGCTCCTCGAGGCCATCTCTTTCCTTTGGGGGCCACGGTAAGAGGAAAAGGGAGTGTCAGACATCCAGAGAGGGGAGATTGGGAATCAGTTTCTGGGAGCGTTCCACTAATCCATGCAAGAGGTTGAGTGGGTATAAGGCAGAGATGAGAGGGAGCAGGGAAGAGAGGACAGAAAAAGATTAGAACTAACAATAATACTGAGTCCCACCGCTCACACCAGCCCCAAACTGCAGCACCAGAGATGGGCAGATTATTTTGGATTGCTGAATGTTCCTGTGTGTTCCTGCCACTGGCAGGCCAGAGGGTCATCATCGTTGGGGTTGTGAGGAGTGCACTGGATGAAGGGTTAGGGATGTAATTAGCTTATGGTGTGTTGAGATGCTCGTTATCTCGGGAAATAAGGCACAAATCCCAATGACATAATACACCTATTAGAATTAAATGTGATTTACTTATAATAAATGGTCCAACCCAACATGAAATACTCACTGCTGTCAACAGGTATCTTGAGGCATATTAGCAGCATGGCTCTAAGAATGTCAATGTCAGTCCACCACTTTGGTCCAGATTGAAATACCTCCACAGCTATTGAACATATTGCCACGAAATATACAGGTAATCATGGTCCACAGAGGATGAATACAATGACTTTGGTGATCACCAAATGTCTGGTAAAGAGGATTGCTGAATGGGTTGCCATAACATTTGGGAGCCTATGTTACTCACAGGAGGAATAGCAATACCTTTGGTGAACTGTTAACTTTTTCTCTGCCACCATCATTCTGTTAAAATGTGTCCAATACTATGATTTATAGCCACATACCAACAAAATTAATGACACTCCCTTCTGTCTAAGTTGTACTTTGTTCATTTATTTTCCGTAATCGCTTATTCTGTTAGGGGTCGCTGAAGGGCTGGAGTCTATCCCAGGTGACATTAGGCAGGAGCAGGGGCACACCCTGGACAGGTCGGCAGACTATCATAGGCCTGACACATAGAGACAGACAACCTATGGCCTATTCACCAGTAAACCTAACCTGCATGTCTTTGGACTGTGGGAGGAAGCCAGAGTACCTGGTGAAAACTGAAGCTGACACGGGGAGAGCATGCAAACTCTGCACACCCGGGGTTCGACCCCTCCACCTTTGGTTTGAACCAGGAACCCTGCTAACCACTGCAACACTGTGCTGCCAGTTGTACTTTGTGTTTCGTGCCAATTAGCAAATGTGCTAAACAAAAATGGTAAACATAAACATTTTACCTTCAACATGATACAATAACACTGTCATTGTGAGGATGTTGTCTCGCTGACGTTAGCATTTAGCTTAAAGCACAGCCGTCCTGAAAAACCAAGCCCCGAGGAACAGCACCGGGCTTTGACCCTAATTTTACATAGTGGTCAAATATGGAATTACAACTTCCTTACCCATCATGTGCCTCAAAAAGACTTTTTCCCATGAAATTACATTGTGAAAGAACGTCTGTGAATCAGTAGATACATTTTTTGAGTGTCACATCTCACATGAAATGAACTGTTTTACTATCAGGAATGATCTGATAACATTTCAGAAGTCTAAATCTTTTTACCCCCATTCAGGTTATCGCTGGGGTCAACCAGAAGTTAGCCATTTGACCGCCAGAAGTCTCAAGTGCACTTGCTGTATGGGCCCCACAATGTGGAAAATCCAGGTCATTTTGTATTGTGGAAATCTTTTTGGATTCATGTGCCACTGAACAAATTTCATGGGAATGCAGGTTCTCCCCCTCCAATGCTGTATCCAGTTCTCTTTGTATATCCATGTGAAATACATTACAGAGCCACTAACGTACCTGTAGACTCTTCTGTAGCTTTTGTTTCTGATGATGTAAAATCAGGGCATGAATATCCTACACTTTGGGAAAAATATCATTCACTTCTGGGTTGATGTTGAATCTGCAAGTATAATCTGCACTCAGTGGGGGTCCATGTCATTGGTCCGACAGCCCATTGGTCCGACATCCCATTAGTCCGACAGTCCGCGGTACTGAACAGCTCCCGGCGGGTGTATTTCTACCTTGATGGTTGGACCGGCTCTGGGTCAGCTGGGAAAGGCTTGAGGCAGAGCAGGCTCACAGCTTATGTGTTTGTCACTTTCTTTTTCATTTTAAACCACACCATGATCTTTTCCAAACCCTAACCAAATGGTTTTTGTGCCTAAACCTAACCAGACCTTAACCACAGGGAATCATGATGATTTCGGAACAACGGGACTTCAGAACAATGGGTTTAATATGGTCGGAATAATGGGATGTCGGACCAATGGGCAGTTCCCCTCAGTGGCGTCCTTCACACCGCGCACTGTGAAATGCTTAATGGGACTATAGAGCTAAACATGATCAGACAGATAAGTTAATACTGATCACTGTTACAGTATGCCACGACCAGTACTACTCGTCTTGGCTGGTTGTTGCACCTATGGACTTAGACTGCCAAGTAACAGTGAGTCTCTGCCCTCTGACTGGGATTTAGCCTGAGAACACAGAGCTGGGCTCAGCCTCGTGGTGACACAGCACAACACTGGCCACGAAGCCCAAAAGCTCATTACAAAGTGCAGTGGACTATGGTCACTGACAAGCTGGGGTTCTAATGAGTGTTCATTTAACATGTCATACATGTGGAAAATGCTACAGTGGTACGCCAACGACTGATTGTTATATCTTTTAGTGTTAGATGGGTGGGTGGGTGGGTGGATGGATAGATAGATAGATAGATAGATAGATAGACAGATAGATAGATAGATAGATAGATAGATAGATAGATAGATAGATAGATAGATAGATAGACCCCCTCCTGTGCTCTGCTGCCAGCATGCTCCTGTAATCCCCCAGCAGCAGCATATGGACTCTGAAGCGCAGAGACACAGACACAGATACACTCAGGACTTAGAAATATGATTCATTTCTTTCCTCTCTCTAATCCCCAACAAACAAGCTGGTGGCCAGCCTGCTCCGGAGGCACACTGTAATCATGCCACAGGCTGCTGCCAGAGCTGACCGGCCCAGCCTCCCCTTCATCCCTTCCTCCCTCTTCCTCCCTCCTGCCTGCCTGCAGTCCATTTTCCTCTTAATCGATTCCTAATCCCAACGCCACCGAGCATACACGCGCTGAGCACACGCCCAAGCACACATACACACGCACACATATGTACAGACACGATCAAATACATATTAACACACACACACACATGCATACACATACAAACAGTCATTATCACTGGTTAACGTTTATCAGCTACAGACAAAAGACACATTTACACAGACGATGGCCCACACACACACACACACACACACACACAGTTAAAAAGATTTAATTTTTTTTGTGGTTGTTTTTTTTGTTTGGGTTGGAATAAAATGAAAAAGAAATCCATGATGAAACAGTTTAACTGAGTTCATTTCAGAGTAGAATTAAGAACAATTTTTGCTGTTGTCCAGGTAAAAATAGTGGCTAGAAACAGTATTTGTTGCCTGGTTTTGTTTGCTGTAATCACAGGTGTAGATTTCAGGGGACATGTCCCACTCAATACTGAGAACACGTGCATTTGTCCTCCACCAGTAAAAACATTAAGTGGTAGAGGACTTTTATTTTGACAAAATTACAGACATTTACACCAGAAATTGATGCAGTAAATACCCAATTTGGTGCATAAAAATTCACCAGAATGCAGGAAATTAAGTGCTCAATATTTTCTGGCTGAGAACCTCAAACCCTCGGTCATATGTGTCTCAACATGAAACCAAGCCTTGGCTGTAGATCATGTGTATAAGGAGTTTGTTTTGAATTTTCTTCACAGTTTTACAGCCCATTTTATATTTTCATAATGGATGTGTAGAGAGTGTTATATTCTGTCTGTTGTCACTAATTACAGTACCACCGAGTTGTATCCCTAAGGACTTTTTCCAGGTGTGCTTCATCACTTAAATATTATGACACAAAAGTACAGGGAGGTCTAGATCATCAGAGGAAAGTGTTGATGGTCAGTTTTATGTTCTTTATGAATCTAGAGTTTTAACTTTTTAAAAGTCCAGTGTGCAGGATTTAGGGGGATATATTGGCAGAAATGGAATATGATATTCAGAACTATGTTTTCATTAGTTTATAATCACCTGAAAATAAGAATTGTTGTGATTTTGTGAACCTAGAATGAGCTATTGATATTTACATGGAGTCCTCTCCCACAGAGTCTGCCATGTTGTTCTACAGTAGCCCAGAATGGACAAATCAAACAGTGGCTCTATTTAAGGCCATTGGCATTTTAGCATTTTTACATTAGCCTCCATATTTCTCCTACATGCTTGGCACACAGAGGAA